AAGTGGAACTTCCTGGGTAGCGGTGATTGGTTTACGATCTCTAATGTAAGCCTGAATATGTCGATCCCGATTTTCAATGGTTTTTATACAAAAGCTAAAATACAACAGGCGAAAATCGATCTGCAAAAGACAGAAAACCAGATTGCCGCATTGCAATTATCAATAGATAGTGAAGTAGCGTCAGCGAAGAACAATTTTAATTCGGCAATATCCACGCTTGATTTTCAGAAAAAGAATATGGAACTGGCGGAGAAGGTATACAATCAAACGAAAAAGAAGTACGAAGCCGGAACGGGATCACAAACGGAGATCAACTCGGCTCAAACTGATATGAAAGCTGCCCAGACAAATTATATCAATGCGCTTTATGACGCAGTCATCGCAAGGATTGATTTCTTAAAAGCAACCGGTAAACTTTAATCAAAACATTAACTGATCAATAAACAGAACTATATGAACAACATTTTGAAAATAACTTTAGTCGGCATCACCTTAGCCTTTTTGTCGGCTTGCGGCTCCGATTCTAAAGAAAAGAACAAGGGTGTCGCTGATTTGAAAGCGAAATTGGAGAAACTAAAAAAGGAAAAAAATGGTTTGGATGCACAGATCCGCCAGGTGGAGGAACAGATCATAAAAGCTGATCCTGCTGCTGCTGAACAAGTGCTCAAACTCGTATCTGCTGATACGCTTCGTATCCAGGATTTTGCCCACTATATAGAATTGCAGGGAAAGATCGATGCGGATGGTGTCGCTTATGTGGCGCCGGGTGGCATGGGTGGTCTGGTTAAAGCAGTTTATGTCAATCTGGGAAGCCGCGTAAGTAAAGGCCAGGTAATCTTAAAATTGGATGATGTGATGGCTAGACAGAGCCTGATCAGCGCACAGCAACAGGTGAGTGGTGCAAAAGCCCAGCTTGCCCAGGCAGCAAGCGTTTACCAGCGCCAGCAAAATCTCTGGAAAGAAAATATCGGAACAGAAATACAGGTGATCAATGCAAAAACAGCTGTTGAAACTCTACAAAGCCAGGTGCGTGCTGCAGAAGCCCAGGTGAGAAGTGTGC